TTTCTAATGAAATTTTCCTGTTTCTGAGTACTTTGATTATTTTTTGGAAGGTATTCTTTGCTATTCGAACATATGTTCGGATTTCGGTGCCACATTTTCCATCATCTGTTAAAAACAATTCCCAGATATTTAAATTTAAGTACTTGTTTTTGTTGATATCTACAATTTCTAGTTTGCGTCTTGGGATATTTATCTTGTTGACGACCATACTTTCTACCGTGTTATGTTAATGGTAACGTTAATATTAGTTTGACAATCTCCTCACAAATGAAGAAGAGACATGAAGCAACAGAAATGTGTTTCTACAGAAGGATGCTGAGAATACCGTGGAATGAACATGTGAGCATAGATGAAGTTTTAGAGAAAACAGAGATGATATACTTAATATCAGAAAGAAACAGTTGGAATTTCTTGGGCACATAACGAGGAAAGAGAGATTAGGAAGTTGTGGATAGCCATGTCCACCAACGTCTTGAAGAGACACGTTACATAGAACAAGAATATTATTAGTTACTCGTTGTTTGCACACTGGAGGACATAGAGAAGAAATAAAAATTCCAAATTATTGATGGTGTCGATCAAATTCGAATTATATTTTCTAAATTCGTTCAAATGTTTTCTAATTTTGTATTGGATTCGCAGGCACTGACCAAACAAGTATTCTTCTTCTTGGTTTATCAGAAGCCAATATTCGATTTCTGGTTTTCCAAGTGAACTACACGAGCGAAAATTATAGAAAAGAATTAAAGAAAATGGCGCTGAATGTGGAAAGAACTTTTTTTCTGCTTCTTACGTATGGAAAAGGCGCACATCGAATTTTGACGTCGGTGAGTAAATCGCAACATCCAAGGTAAGACGTGCACGCGTATTATGCAGAGGAAAGACACTTAGAATAAACAAAAACGAATTCGTAAATAACAGGTTGAAAAGAAGATCCCGTTAGCGTTGAAGTTTGAAAAGATCAAACGCTTCTTTGGACTTAACTTTATATTTAATCAAGAAAATATTTCGTTATTGATCAGATAATCCCATCTATTTGGCAAATTGTTGATCCATCTTCAGGTTTCCATGCAAAGAAACATTCATTGTTAGATTTGAATTTTTTACAATTAATAAACCGTTTTACCTCAGAATTGTTGCAATGGTATTTTTAAAATATATATATATTATGCTTTATAATAAGGCATAATATATTTTTTTTTAAATCCACATTACAACCAAACACATTTGCGGTTTCGCTCTTCTTTTTATTATACACACTTTTCTATCATTGGAACTACTATAACCTCTACCCTTTACACACACACACACACACACACACACATATATATATATATATATATATATATATATATATATATGATAAATTAACTAGTTTAAAATATGTTTTTTCGCTACACAGTAATAACCATGTTTCAAAAATGGAAGCTAAAAGCTTCTAATTTAATTTTGTAATTAAATTAAAAACATTAGATTCCATTTCATCTTCAAGCGAATTTTGGAGTTCCAAATTCGCTTGAGGATGAAATGGAACTAATGTTTTTAATTTAATTACAAAATTAAATTTGAAGCTTTTAGCTTTCATTTTTGAAATATGGTTATTACTGTGTAGCGAAAAGGCCATATTTTAAATTGGTTAATTTATAATATTGATGCTCTGTAAATTTACATTGAGCGCTATTTTGTAAAAAAAAAAATATCAATAAGAACACCGGATTATATATCTTACTGTTCTTTCTTTTATATATATATATATATATATATATATATATATATATATATATGAAAAATATAGTTTTAAGGTGTGCTATATTTATACGATAAAGTGTTCAATATCAGAGATAAAGCGTATGTAAATATAAATATAAAAGTGAACATTGAAATCAACACTCAGAGGGCGGCCTGACGATTGCATGCAACATGAAACAGCCTGTGTTGACTTTAATGTTCGCTTTTATATATATATATATATATATATATATATATATATATATATATATATATAATTGAAAATCACCTAATGTTTTATATATTTATATGTAATATTTATAATACATGTATATTTCCAGTGAATTATTAAAATTCTTTTATTTACATGTAGGTTTTCAGAAAGAATCGTTTTACTTTTAACTGGTTTCACTTTTTGAAAGCTAAAAGCTAAACCGATTAAAGTAAAATGATCCTTGTTTTTTTTTTTTTTATTTCTGACTAAACCGGCAGCATATATATATATATATATATATATATATATATATATATATATATATATATATATATATATAAGTTTGTTTTATATTTTTTTACATTCATCGTACCTTTCCTTAGTTTACTTAAAAGAGACTGTATGTTTGTCAGCAATAACAGGACCTAAACACCAGCTCTTTGTACGCAACTATGAAAACAAAACGCACACAAAAATGAACTTTTTCTGTCGTTTTTAATGAAGCACTTATCAATAAAAGAAAATATGGCTACCTAAAAATACAAGCATGCGCATGCGCGATTGTGTACGCGCGCACATCATTCATTATAATAATAGTCAAGTTATCTATGAATATACAGATATACATATACCATGTACGTATGTCACTATTCTACATATTCAAATACAATAATTTTAAAATTAACCTTTTCTTTTTGCCCATGCCTAAATATATCAAATTATATTTTTAATTGAAATTTCAGGCTAAAGAAATGGGAATTATTCGATTCAATACAATTTGGATACTCGGTAACTTGGACATGAACCTGGACAATTTAAATTCATTGGGCTTGAATGATCATCTAATTAATATCCTTCTTTTTAAGAAACCGTGCATCCCACCCACAACTATTGTGGATAACAATCAAATGGGTCTGGAAATGTCTGTAAGTAATCTTTTTGGTAATCTTTTCCGTTTTTATTCAGATTTAACAAACAGCTTTTAACAAAATAAATTTCAATTGTAGATAACATTGGAATATGCTCTGCATTGTTAATGTCATATCACTTCATGTCGTAGGCGATCATGGCTCTCCACAGATTCCTTTCTTTATTATCTGTGAATTGCCATGACTTCTTGGGAAAGATTGTAGTTTCCAGCTACCTTCTCCATGGTTTGGAATTCAGAGTTGTTCTTCTCTCAGACTGGATACCAACCAAGGCTAGGAAAATCGGTGTACCCTGCTATTTTATAACTACGGTGAAAAGAGATGCATTTATGCTTTTCTTAAGGACATCTATGCAAAAGTGAACACGAGAGAGTAGGCTGGAATTTGAACTCGTGTCCCCGATTTCATTCTCAGCGCCGATAACTTTTATGATATCAGCACATCGTATGCCATACGATATCCTATATAAATTTTGATGGCTTCAGCCAGATGACTTTATAAATTTTAATTAATTGTTTTGCAAAGAATATTGCCGTTTGTGAAGTTCTTGAAACTTAAGGAAATCGTACTTATATTGCTATATATATTTTATCACTATCAAATTTTACACAACATTTTTTACATATTTTTAGCCAATAAAACTGACAAAATGCTCGTGAATTATCAAATTTAAACATACATTTCTCCATATCTTTTCTGATTACAATTTTGTTCCGAGTGGACAATATTTAAGTGGGAATTTGTTTATCTTAGCCTGTTCAAATAAGATTGTAGTTAGCAAAGGGTTTCGCAATTCGAAGTTCGATTCGCTAAGACGTACGCTAAATATCGCAAGATGAAATCCTACTTATCTCCCTTTAATAAATATGAATGAAAATAACTTGAAATCGGTCAGAGACATTATGTCCGTTGATATTTTTCAGTAATCGAAACTATGCTTAGAACGTCTATCAACATTGGCACTATTATGAACATTTCAGATGTCTGACGGTTTTTTGTTGGAAACGGTTTCTAAACATCTCAGTGACTGTCTGAATATAACAGAGACAGAATATTACCCACCGGATGCTTGGAAGACTGAACTATTTTTTCCTGTGACTGAACTGGATAAAGAGGTTGGATTTTTCTCTTCAAATTTTACGCAATAGTCTATTAAAATAATTTCATTTATCGTGTATATTGGGTTGGAACAAAAATTCATAATATGGCGTTTGCAGTCGATGTCCAGGGATATATCTAGTTCTTATTTAATACTGCTCGGTCATTGCTTGCCCCGTTTCCACGGAATCCAACAAAACACTACCCAGCCCAGGGATTGAACTGAAAATAATTATGTCAAAAAATTCACGAGGCAACACTTTAATGCACCAGGTTATTGTTCCATGGGACAATCCTGAGTGGAGAACTTGGAGCCTTAAACCTAACCTGCCTGCTGATTACCTCTGCTGCTACTCTTACTATTACACTTCGCTACACTCACCAAGGCTTCTTTATTCAACAACTGCTGCTGTTAAAGTTGTATTATCATTTCTCATTTTTTATTAATTAATAGCTCTCATATCGTATTTATTTCTACGCTTGGCCTACTAAGGAGGTTCACATAGCCTAACAAACAAGGTGAGAAATAATTGAGAAGTACTTAATTAAATGTAGACATGATCAGTTGATTGAGAACGAACTACCCCCGTAGATTAAATAAAGGGTTCAGTTCGAAATTTTTTGAAGGTTATTCAGATCTACAATCACCTGATGAAAGCAGGAAGGGGCAATGGCTTAAACGTTGTATTAACAACAACAAAGATGAGGATTATAGTCCGAATGTAATTAATGTAAATGTGGCAATAAATGAAGATTCTTTTTCTTTCTCTTGTCAGGATAATGTTTCAAAGCGGGTTCTCTTGGATCCCGAGCAAAACTTTGATGAACGTTACGATATTTTCCGATTAGACGTCAGTGGGGCATACATTGACCTAAAACGAGTTGGAGAATGGTGTGTCGGATTCGGTCTTTTGCTTTTGTCTAACGATATTTTCCCAAACGCCTTACCGGGACTTGGCAATCAGATCCTAAGAATTGGAACCATTTCTGTATGTTGAAGGAATCTTAAATTTGTTCTTAATATTTCATATTTATTCGAAGAATTTGTTTAAGAATTCACAAAATAAATAAACCCAGGTGGAACGAGCGGTTTGCTGTTTGCCTATAGCAGGGCTTCTCAACGAGGGGTCAATTCGCAGGGTTTCGTGGGGTGGAGGAGAGTGTGAGAGACAGTAAGAGAGCAAGAGAGAACTAAAGAGAGAAAGTGAAACAAAAAGGTAGTAAGACAGCGAGAGAAACGAAAGGGCGGGAGAATGAACGCGAGAGTACAATTGACAGAGAGAGGGGGAGGAGGGGGGAGAATTAAAGATGGAGAAAAATATCAAGCAAGTAAGAGTGAAAGAGAGAAATCGGAACAGAGAGTGAGAAACTGAAAGGATATTAGAGAGAGTGAGATGGGCGGGGGGGGGTAGAACGAGACGGGGAGAATATAACTGAGAAAGCAAAAGAGAGAGAAAAAGTGCAATAGAGAGAGAGAGAGAGAGAGAGAGATTCAGAGAGCGTGAAAGAAAGGAGCGAGAGAGAGAGAGCAAAAGAGAGCGAGATAGGAAAAGCAAAAGAGAAAGAAAGCGTGCAAGTGAGGGAATGAGAAATAAAGTGAACAATAGAGAGAGAGAGAGAGAGAGAGAGAGAGAGAGAGAGAGACGGGGAGAAAAACGAAAAAGTGAGAGCTAGACAGAGAAAGAAAGAAAGAGTGAGTAAAAGCAAGAGAGAGATATTTTAGGAACAATGCCTCTCATTATGAAGGCGATATTGTTTTCCACAAATCTTTACCAGATATACAATACACTTTGTTTGTTTAATTGCTTTTCAAATTTTCCCTGGGTATGACAATAAACTACATCCGGCAGCAAGACCTCTGATCAGGACGTTTTGAGGAGCGTGAAACCACCTCTTAATTGCTGATGTTCCTCGGTCCACCCTGACCCCGGGTGGTAGCACCTTTTAGGATCCTCGCTATGGGCAAATAGTTAACCGCAAAACTGGGATCAAAACTCTATGAAAGTATAAAATAATTTTATATTTGGTATTTTATAGTAAAAATACCAGCAATACATTTTCATAGTAATAAAAATTACCAGCAATACATTTTTGTAAAGGAAAAAATTACCAGTAGTACATTTTTATATAAAATAAATTACTAATACGCTCAATAAAATAAAATGTCGGCACGAAATAGCCCATAAGGAGCTGATGTGTCGTAAAACAAGCAAAATTACCCATTTACTTAATAGAATCTCTATTTCTTTCTTCAGATCTCACCTTACGTTATAAAAGAAATTCAAGGCAATACAACCAGGTGGTTAGGTTTTTGTATCGACATTCTAGAAGGACTTAGTAACGACATGAATTTCAAGTGAGTATTTCTCATTCAATGATCATGAAAATGAAAATTAATGAAAAATTGATTTTATTATAGCCGCATTATTTAAAATGATTCTCCTATTTTTGATGCTTCTACTTTCTTAGTACTTTCCATCTCTTACTGAGGTCATTTTTTAGTTTTTACCTTAACAGTTGCACTCCTGAACTCAGAAGGAGATGGAAAGGACTTGATAAATAAAGGTGATTTTCACTGTTACAGTGCATTTCTTGCATCATTTGATTGCAATACACGGAAAAATATCCGTGAATATTAAAGGGTTATGCTAAAAATAAGGAAACATAATGTTTGTAATTTATTTAATCAGACAAATATATATATATATATATATATATATATATATATATATACACATATTTCATTAAATAATATAGACAAGTGTTGTCTATTTATTTTATGTAATTTTTACTTCATTCTCCAATTCACTCTCGTGTGGTCATGTGTGACGTCATGAGATGCGGTGCGATTTTCGCTTCTAGCGTCTTATATGCGCGTGTTTATCGTTGCTTAGAATCATCTATGTAAACATTGACAGACTATCATCACTGTCTTGTCCGTATATTGTTTAATATGTTGTAATTGACATCTTTGATAATGGCTTATGTAAGCCGAAAGCTTAGATTATATTAAAAGAATATGGATCAATATTGTGAAATTCTTTCTTCGTACAACGATAATGTTATAAATATATCAGATGTTAGGAAAAAAATTTACATAAAATAAATAGACAACACTTGTCTATATTATTTAATGAAACATGTATAAATGAAAATATGCTGCCCAAATACACACAATATATATATATATATATATATATATATATATATATACAATAGGAATTAAAATTACTCTATGGTTATGATCATTTCACCTTAAAATTAAGATTAGTTTGTAATGATTTTCAAACCGATTAGTGTGAATCAGTTTTAAAATTTTAAATTATATTATTAGGATTCACTAGGATTATATACCAACAGATTATTACCTCTCTCTCTTTCTATATATATATATATATATATATATATATATATATATAAATCGGGAGATCAGTTGAATCCACTAACTTCGTTTCAACCTTATGGTATCCTCAGGCGATTTTATCAAATGACCTCTTAACCTTTTGTTTTAAAAAATAATGAATGCGATATTATTTTTTTTAAATATAGCGTTCATTATTTAAAAAAAAAATAAAGCGTTAAGAGGTCATTTGATGAAAATCGCCTGAGGATAACCATAAGATTGAAACCAATGTAGCGGATCCAAATGATCTCCTACTACTCTGCGATCGTGTTCGCCGCATAGCAACTTTTTATGTCAAAATAACAAAATATCATCTTTGATGGTGGATATCTTCGTTTCATGTCTGTATAACCACAATGAAGATGGCCCATGTGAGCCGAAAGCTTAGGACCAACTTAATAAAGAAAATATCCAAATGTTGAACAATTGTTGTCTTTATTTTCACCAGAAATTAAAGCAAACATTCGAACATTAGAACGGCTTATAATTAGACATTCATTGTCTGTTATATTCAATTATATATGTTTAAATAATGATATACTATCCCAATATACTATCTATCTATCTATCTATCTATCTAAATATATATATATATACATTAAGAATTGGACAAAGTCCGGCAATTTATTAAAATATATATATATATATATATATATATATATATATATATATATAGATAGATAGATAGATAGATATATATATATATAAAACCAAACACATATATTCAAACTCTTGTGCGCTAATCGCTCTGCCTTATTTAGTGTTAGTCAATACACACATCCGCCTCTCTGTGTCTTCTCTCATTTTCTTTTTTTCTCTTTTTCTCTCTATCTTTCTGTGTATGTATCTATGAAAATAATATTTACAATAATTAAGTGGTATTTTTATTTTTTATTTTTTTTTAGGTATGAAATAATTGAGCCAGAAGATAAAATGGTTGGCAGTTTTGATAGCTGAAACTGGACAGAATTTGATAGCGACAATGGAAACTGATAGAAGAATAATTCGACAATAGATAGATAGATAGATAGATATGAAGAGGCTGAGATAGATAGATAGAATGATAAGACAAGATAGATATGAAGAGGCTTAGATAGATAGATAGATAGATAGATAGATAGATAGATGAAGATGAAGATAGATGGATGAGATAGATAGATAGATAGATAGATAGATAGATAGATATAGATAGATAGATAGATAGATAGATAGATAGATATTAACAGTTCTCCATCTCCATATACATCTTGGGTGTTCTTGAAACCAGTTGTTGATTACTACCTGATCATTCGCCGCGCACCACTGGTGTCATTCCTTTTGGCGATCATTACGAGTTCCTAGTCCACATTTGCCAACAATTTCACCATCTCTTTCTTTGCTTGCTTTGGCATTCAGGTCTCCAATTTCTTGCCATCTCTTGACATGCTACCTGCTCTGTTCTCTCCCTCTCACTCAATAATAATAATAATAATAATAATGAGAAGAGGAAGAAGAAGACGATGAACAACAACAACAAATATTTTAAAATAATAAACTTTTATTCATAATCATAATAATAATAATAAAGTAATATCAAATTAAAGTGGAAAACCTCGATTTCTTTTCATTTTCAAGGACTTTACGAATGACAATATTCTTGAAAAACTTTATCAACTAATTGGCGTTATTCTCTGCTCAACTACTTATTTTGCTACTAAAGTTTTGATAAATTTACTCAAGTTTGGCACAAGTCTAAGAAGTTGTCGGTCAAGCCTAGGAAAATAAACCAGAAAATAGATACTTCTTTACAAAAATAAAGGAAAATATTTTTATAATCAATTTTAGATCCATTTTAAATGGATAAACCAGAATTTTAAACCTTATATATTTTTCGTTCCTGTGTTTGCCTACAGGCAAACCTTTGGCTCAAGGGCAGACGTATGAAACTTCTACTGAGGATCGAACCCACTACTCAGAATTAATAATCTCCAAAACCAACTTGCTAACCATTACATCACATGTGGGCAATCATTTTTTCTTTTTTTTTTTTGCTCGATTATTAAACGATGCAAATCACTTTTCTAGTCTTAAATTATGAAGATGGTGGGTAACTTTTTTACGGGTTCAAATTGGTTACATTAAAAATTATATACATCATTTTGTTTTTCCCGCGCAGGAAATCGACATCGGTATCGGTCCGATCACTCTGACAGCTGAGAGGTTCAATGTCATCGATTACACTCACCCATTTACTGAAGACGGAGTCGGATTTTTAATGAAACGTTTGGTTGATGACGGCATGGCTTTAGATATGATATTCCGACCATTTGAGGCCATTGTGTGGTGCCTGCTTCCTTGCGTGATTTTGCTCACAGGTGTGGTCCTTACTTTGGTCAACCGCCTAAGCATGCGAATTAAAGGCGAGAAACCAGAAATGGACATTAACTGCTCCTTTTATCAAAATCTTTGGTTTATGTTTGGAGCAACCGTTCACCAAGGTAAATAATTTTATAGATTTTGTTGTTGTTGTGTATTTGGTGTTGTGGCTCGAATTAGACAACCATTTAGAGCCATCTACATGCATATAAAGGTTGTTCCAATAATTGGGACCGATTTTAAATGCGAATTAAGTTTAAGCGTCTAATGATTTTTTTTCTTTTTCTTTCATATTTAACAACTTAAGTCTTTGGCCATTTTAACCATGGAAAGATTAACAATCAAACAATGTGTTAAAGTTATCGAAGCCTATTACAAAAATGGACGTTCAAACAGAAATGCATTTTGCCTACTTCGTGATTTTTTTTTTGGTCAACACAATCGACCAACCGAGAGTGCAATTGGAAACGATGTAACGTTGTTGTGGAGATGTTCAATTCCTGCGCGCGATGACGAATAGAGGTGTCTGGATTTTCGACCACATTCTCGTGTCACTGCAGCAATGTTTTCAGCTGAACGGCGTAAACAAGCACGCAATGGTGTTTTTACATCTGCCAGCGACCCAGTTTGTTAAAATTTACGAACACTTTTTCCAATTGCACTCTTGAAACTTTAACACGTTGTTTGATTGTTAATCTTTCCATGGATGAAATTGCCAAAGATTTAAGTTATCAAATCTGAAAGAAAAAGAAAAACCACTAGACGCTTAAACTTAATTCGCATTTAAAATCGATCCCAGTTATTGAAACACCCTTTATTTAACCCTTATAGTGAAAGGGAGATAAGTCTTTGGGAAAATATTAAGGTGCAAGCTAATAATCGCTAAAGTTAACCTAGTTTGGCAGAAGTCCAGAATAGCGGTGAGTTTATTTTATAATCATGGTCACCCAGTTCAAGGCCTGGGAGCCACTTGATGTAGAGTGCTACAGAGTAAAAGGCACAGTTTATTGACATTTTTTAAATCATTTTACTCCAAGCAAGGCGATAATGTCACTAAGCCGCAGGGAGTTACAGTGAGTTTTTTCTTTTCATTTTTTTTCACGGTGATGTTCACCCTGTACAAGACCCAGGAGTCACTCGATGTAGAGGGTTACAGATTAAAAAGCATAGTTTTTGTGGATATGTGGGGAAAATAATGGTTGACCTTAGATTGAAGCGATCGGGGAAGCATCCCCTTGGGAGTCACTTCCACAAGGCAGCGGTTCGTAGGAAGAAGCTGCTCGAGTGGAACTTATATCTCACCAAAGGAATACGAAGGGTGGTTCGCGACAATGAACGTGGCATAGCGTGTCTCAGCCGTGAAGGGTAGAACAAGTTGAACTGAAGAATGTTGTTAGTCTGAAAACCTTCCGTAGAACGATAGAACAGACAGGTTGAAGATCAAGCTCAAAGGCATTGATGGCGTGTTTTTGGTTGGTCTCATCTCGTCAGGCCGGTGATTCACTGGTCGTTTTAGTTCAATCCTCTTCTTTTAGTCGGTGTCACGAAATGTTCTTTGGGTTCAGAGACGAAAAGCATCAACAAAGAGAACTTTTAACTTACTTATTTTATTAGTGTCGCCGACGTTCATTCTATCAGGTAGGGGTTACTACACCACCTATTAGGGAACCGCTTTCCAACACGAATTCTCACACGTCCATTTTCGTTTCCAGCTCTCGAAAGACCCTTCCCCACTGGGTGGGAGTGCACAAACGTAATCTAATACGTCTAATTACCCTGAGTCCAAACAGCAACTCTCGTAAAACGTTAATCTATAACTCATTCCCACGTTCGGTTCAGCCAATCAAAATCGACTTCCCTATTTTGTCTACCATCTGACCTTGAAGGTCAGCCTCAGAAGGTCTGAGCCAAAATACACTACCACTAAAAAATAATAGTCTGAAATTATTATTTAACACATACATAATTAGCTATCGTGTTTGCGTATGTGTATGTGAGAGTATGTGTTCGTATAGATGTGTGTGTCTAGAATTTCGTATTTGTATGCGCGTGTGTGTGCATGTACGTGTGCGCGTAGGAGACTGTGTGTGAGAAAATGTATGTGACTGTATGTGAAATTATAGCCGTGAGAAAAATACGTGTGTAAAAGCATGTGTGTGAATGTGTCTGAGAGTTTGGGTTTGCATATATGAGTGGGCCTATTCGTGTGTGTGTGTGAGAACATTGTGTAAGATTGTATGTTATTAGGTGTATGTGAGAGTATATTTGTGAGAAAGAATGTGTGTGTGAGTATATGTTTGAGTGTTTGAGTGCATGTGAAAGGGAGGGGGTGAATGTTAGGGGATACGTGTGAGTGTATCCATGTTTGAGTGTATGTGATATGTTTATTATATATTTCTGGATGTTAAAGCATATGCGTGGGTGTGTATGTCTGACAGTGTGCGTTTGTGTGAATGTGTTTATGTGCAAGTGCGCATGTATATCTGCATGTATGCTATGAATCTGATTACATCTGTTTGAGTAAAGTAGGCCACAGAAAATCATCAAAGAAACCACATACAGTGGAAAATCATTAACAACACATTATGCAGCCTTTCTTGTTCGGTTTATTTTGTTTTACGGCATATCAAAACCTCAATGGGTTATTTAATGCCGACAAGATTTTTAGGATATGTTCATATGAATAGAATATGTATTCTTTGTAAGAAATCAGTTTGGTTTGGTTTATTTTGTTTTAAGCCATATCAACACCTCAATGATTTATTTAATGCCAATATTTTTAGGATAGGTTCGTATGAATAGAATATGTATTCTTTGTAAGAAATCAATTTGGTTTGGTTTATTTTGTTTTACGGCATATCAACACCTCAATGAGTCATTGAATGCCGACAAGATTTTTAGGATAGGTTCGTGTGAACAGACGTATTTTTGTAAAGAGATTTTTTTTTTGCCGAGAGTCTGGCTGGTAATTTTTTTTTTTTTTTTCAAAAATATATTTCTGGATGATTTTCAGACATGTATTTCGGGTAATTTTTTTTTCTTCAAAAATTCATTGCTGGTATTTTTACTATAAAAATCTATTTTTATACTTTCACAGTGTTTTGACCCCAGTTTAGTGGCTAACTATTTGTCCATAGCTGGGACCCTAACAGGTGCTACCGTCCCCGGTCAGGGTGGATCTGGGGACAACAGCAATTAAAAGTTGGTTCCACGTTCTTCAAAACCTCCCGATCAGAGGTCTTGTTGCCGGATGTAGTTTATCGTCATACCCAGGATGACACTGCATTTGCACTGAGTGGGGAAAAGACTGTGCCTCAGTTGGTGGACTAAAATATGAAAGTTCGCCAAAATATTACTGTAACAAATACTGCAAGTGGTCCCTAACGTTGAGAAGTCTACCCAAGAGAGGGCATGACTCTAGCAGGAATAAAAAAAAACGTATATAATTGAGAATCAATCAAACTTTGAAATTATTCCAAATCAAATTGCAGCCATCAGCTGCTGCATGTGCAGAGGTGAGTGTAAGGGTGTTATGCAATTTAGAAGCCGGATTAGTGCTATTTGGTTAAAATTATAAACTTTTTCATTGATTTCTCTTGTTTTTCTTGTCTGATATTCAATGCATAAATCTGTGTTTAAGGCTTACGGCCATATCACGTTCAAACATCGGTTCCCGTACGATCACCGAAATTAAGCAACGTCGAGCCTTGTCAGTACCTAGATGGGTTACCGTTTGCGAATACCAAGTGTTGTAAGTTTGGATGTGCGAGTGGTGTAATGGATAAAGGCTAGGAATTGGAAATCGAAAAGCCGAGTTCCAATTCAAGTCTGGTTCATTTTATTCACTTACGCGCAAATACCCTTGGGTAAGGGGTATGAGTCCACCCCTTCTCCTCCCAGCTATTGGTTAATTAGTAATTCTTCCAAAAAATCTCAAAATATAAAAATATTTTCTGGCTTTAAATAACCTGCAGAGGGTTGAAGCTGTAAAAAAATAAATCAATAAATAAAAAATAATTTGTATCATACTTATTATAAAATCCTGGTTCTGTCTGTGTGTGTGTGTGTGTGTGTGTCTGTACGTTTTATATATTGGATTGGATTTCCTACAACCGATTTCAATAAAACTTCACAGGACTACGTAAAATTCCCTTCCGGTGGTTCTGACAGCGCCCAAAATTGGAAAAATACAATTGTTTTTGCACGAAATCAATTTGAAAACACGATTAAGAGGCATCGCTATCGCGAGAATGAAAGGGGGACAACTCATATCAAGTTATACTTATTATAAAACCCAGGTTGTGTGTGTGTGTGTGTGTGTGTGTGTGTGTGTGTGTGTGTGTGTGTGTGTGTGTGTGTGTGTTCGTTTATATATGGGATCGGATTTTTTCAACCGATTTCAACAAAACTTCACTTTTTTGGCAGGTAGTGTTTCTTATTGTCTTGCACACTTTTTTTCTTTATTTTTACATTCAGAATGCTTTAAAAATTCCATTTACAAGACAATTGTTTATAATAAAATTCTATTCAATCGGTAGACTCATAACGATTGAAAACAATGTTTTTGTTTGACCAATTCGTAAAAAAAAAAAAAACTAATTAAGACATGCGTGTCTGTCAACCTTAAACAATAATCTTTGTCAATTTTATTTTTCAGTCTTTATGATGGCCGATACTTGATCTATCTCTTACTGTTACATCCCCAGGAAACGCCGGGCTCTACTGCTAGTTTATAAATATGTTTAAATTTATAATGACTTTCTATTCGTAGTTTAAATGTGGCACAAAGTCAAAAGTATTGGGTATCCGGAGAGGATCGAACTCACTATTAAGTCCTGATTTCGCGAGACAAGCTTGCTAACTATTACATCACGTCTTAGTGCCCAGAAGTGTTGCGTAGATATGGCATAAGGCCGAAAGTGTGGAGCACCCAGTGAGAATCGAATTCACTACTCAGTTGTAATTGATCTAGCTATACAAATCTGCTAAGCAGTGCACCATGTCGAATTACCCAAAATGATTTTCTAAGCATTGCTTTGATATGGCGCAAGGTCGAAAGTGTGGCGCTCTCAGTGATGATCGAACTTACTATTCAATTGTAACTGATCTAGCGAGACAAGCTTGCTAACTTAGACGGTAGAGTAATGAATAGCGGCGCGGATTGAGAAATCGAAGAGCCGAGTTCGAATTCCAGTCAGATCCATTACATTCACTTACTTAGGTATGAATCCTCTTCTTCTCAGGACAGACCGGGTTCTACCACAGGAAGAAATGACAACCTACTGCGGGAAAAAAATATGCCTCGTCAATCATGTATCGAAAGATACATAATCGCCTAAGGGTGTATCACGCATGGAACATAGCTGAATGAAATTCACTTGCGAGCTAATACCCTTGGGAAACGTATGGATCCTCTCCTTCTCCTCACCAGCTATGGGTAAATAGCAGGACAGACTGGATTCTATAGGCTTGGATGGCAACCGCAGAAAGAAATGGCAACCTACTACGGGAAAAAATCTGCCTCGTCAGTCATGTATTGAAAGATACATGATGTATCACACTGATTGGAACATAACAGAATGTAATTCACTTGCAGTTAATACTCTTGGGATGGCAACCTCTTCTCTCCTCCAGCTATCTGTAAATGGGACAACCTTCTACAGCCTTGGATGACAACTGTTCTACCGCAGAAAAAATGGCAACCTACTGCGGGAAAAAAATCTGCCCTCGTCAGTATTGAAAGATACATGATCGCTTAAGCATGTATCACGCATGGCACATAACTGAGTGAAATTCACTTGCGAGCTAATACCATTGGGAAAGCTATGAATGCTCTTCTCTTTCCGCTCCAGCTATGTCTTCTCCCCTCCAGCTATGGGTAAATAGCAGGACAGACCACGTTCTAGAGCCTTGGATGGCAACTGGTCTACCGCAGAAAAAATGGCAACCAACTGCGGGAAAAAATATCTGCCGTGTCAGTCATGTATCGAAAGATAAGCGTGTATCACGCATGGCACATAACTGACTGGCTGATCTAATTTTTGTCCCTTTTTCTTTTTCCTGCGCGCCCCTCCCAATCATTTTCTCGGTTTTCTTCCTTCATTTTTACAGCACAAGGCAACGAACCAAAGAATATTTCTGCTCGTTTGATCATCGTCTTCTGGTGGCTCTTCGTTATTCTTCTTTCAACTTATTACACAGCCTTTTTGGCTGCCTTCCTTACCATCAACATATCTCAATCACGCATCAACACTTTAGAAGATTTATCACAAGAAGCATCTATTCGTCCCATCACATTGGCCGGATCCACGTGGTGGTCTTATTTCCTGGTAAGTCATCTTTAATTCGTTTTAAGAAAATGTTAAAATATTGAATAAATATGAATTTAACATTTAAACTTTTCATTTTATCGTTAATTCTCTGTAGAGCAATTTTTTTTTACATAAATTCATTTTTTTTCTTTAATATCATAAACGTTATTTTCAGTGGTCACATGTGCTTGTGTGGTAATCCGTGCTATTTATTTTCTTAAGCAGTGAAATTAATTAGATCGGGAAGACCTAAAGAAAAGCGCGCCTCTAGACACATGTGCCAATTAATTGAAAAAAACGAATTCCATTATTTTTTACTTTTTTTTTCTTTTTTTTTTTTTTTGCAATGAAACAACGCCCAGTGCATATGTTAGTACTTCGTATGTCCGTTTCATGAAGTCGTTCCTTGCAAATTAACTACAGATTCTCAATTGGATTTAAATCAGGAGAGTTTCCTGGCCACTCTATACTACTTTGATTTGCTCACTGGTAAGGCTTGCTAGTGTGCTCGTGCAGCGTTACAATTGTCGTACGCTTCCTTAGAGTAACGTTCTTCGCAGACAATGACCGTAGGACAACTAATCGATAGTCAAGACAATAGTGTCTGGGGATAATGAAAATCTGATGCAATCACGGATGACGCAATGTATTTCAAGGTCAAACAAATTTCATCATACACTCCGAAAATAGAATCACCGCAAATGACCTAATCTAAGAAAAAAATAGAAATAGATTACATCCTGTCACTCCAGTGGGTCTAAAACTGACCGTATGGTGAAAGAAAGGCAACTAAACCGGTTGTTTCAATTAATTTTCACAAGAGTGCATTTTCACTGAAGATCTTGAAACGCGAATAGATATTTTCATTTCATTAAAACTTTCAAATTAGGCTTATTGCTGTCATTTCTATTTTCAGTCACGTGTCCTTATGATAATGGATGTGTAGATATTATAAGGGTTATCAGTGCAGAAAGTGAATTCGAAAACGCAATTTGCTTTAGCTGGACTTTTCCATCTAGGCCGGTAGATATTAATTTTCGCAGGATGTCAACTCAAACACGTGTGAACAGTTGTGGCACCATGCATCATTAGAAAACTGAATAGAGATATTCATAAATATATGATTTATTTTTATTCGGTTTGTTAACCAGTTGATAGTTAATTAGAGATGAAGAATAATTGAGTTTTGAGAATAATTCTCTAATTGTATTTAGGCGATCCGAAGGAAAGAAGAAGGAAGAGAAAGAAAGAAAAAAAAAGGAAAGAGAAATAGATAGTACAAAACCCGGTCATAAGCACACAAGCTTAAAAAGATATCTAGGCCAAAGTACCTGACCGAAATCCACGAAAAATAGAAATTGTTATAATTGATTGAAGGAATAGAGTTTAGAAATAATAAAAAGAAAGAAAGGGAAAAGGCAGGAACATGATAACGAGACGGGGTCGCGAACGAATGGGCACACGCGCGATTGATGCATAACAGATGTCGGTCAAGCACCTGACCTACTTTCGTGTCCGCGGAGTATGGGAGTTTATTATCAATTTGGTTGAAGAAATAAGATTTTAGGGACAATGAAAAAAATATTAATAGGTAACGAACGAAGAGGGGTGTCATTGACCGCTGGGGAAATGTATACGAAAACAAAACATTGATACACGAACCCTGACCATTTCTAGGGTTGAAGATAAGAACCACCCAAAATGATGAGTGGAGAATATTTTCAATTTAGATAATTAAGATTTTGTTAACAGGCCCCGAGCGAAAGAAAGAGGTGAAACAATTGTTTTAGCTCGCGGAAGACGCCGACAGGGCGGAAAAATTCTTTCTTTAAGTCACATCTAATTAGCGGCAGGCTGTTTTGACAAGAAACCGGGATTGTCATTTTCGTACGAAAAGGACAATTTAAATTTTGTTTTTTTAGCAAGGTGTTTCTTCCCCAGAACAAAGCCACGGATTGTCCACGCCCGATTGGAGACGTCACGAAGGAAGGAGGGAAGATACCGACCAGAATCTCATTAGCCGAGGGCAGTCACATGATACATGAGGGAGGAGGAGAAACACCCGACTAGAGTCTCATTGGCCGAGAGCGGTCACGTGATGTGCGAGGGAGGAGGAAAGATGCTCGACCAGGACCCCATTGGTCGAGAGCGGTCACCTGACATACGAGAGACCAGGGGAAGCGGGTATGCGCCTCCCCCCAGAAGCACTGTAAGGAAGTAGGAGTGAAAGTAAGAGCGATAATGGGAAATCAGAAATAATACGACTTTAGAATTATCAAGAAAATCCTGGCGCCGTCAATAAAAGCAGGACCCCAATCGACAGAAATGAGTTGCAGGGCGGACGGCGAGACAGTTGCAGGCCGGACAGGCAGAAGAGTTGCAGGCCGGACAGGCAGAAGAGTTGCAGGCCGGACAGACAGAGAGAAGTTGGAGTTGGGTTTGCGCCTCAGACGAAGAAGAAGTTAACTTGCAGTTGCGCCTAGAAGAAGTTGAAATCAAATCAAGCCTAAGAAGAGAAATTCGTCCAAGACAAGTCGAAGTGAATAAATTCACCCAAACCAAGCCTAAGAAGAGAAATTCGTCCACCAGAAGAGAAGTTAATTCGCGCACTGACGGCGAGGGAAATCAGCCGTGAACGACTGGTAGAGATCAGCGCCCAGTGTTGAAACCAAACCACACCCCGAAATGCAAATTTCTAGAGAACAAGCAACTCGAAGTCTTAAATTTGTATGGTAGAAGCTTGGTGCCACAGTCCATAAAACGGGTCGGGAGGTAGGAACAATTTTGTGTAATGAACATTTAGATATAAAAGGTTGTTACCTTTTCTTTTCAATAATTTTTGACCTTGTGAGTTTTTCTTTTTCTTGTGTGTTATCACCCCCGCTGAACCCAGCTGGCATACGGCCCCAATCCCTGTTTGATCCCGTCTGTCTAAGATCTAATCACAACGTGGGTAGGCAGACCGGAGATCAGTGCAGTTACCCTAGTAACCAGGCGTTGGAAGCGAGTTGGGAACGGCGAGGCTGGTATTCATCTAACCAAAGAGTTAGAACGTCACACTTGGAGCAGCGAGGAGCGAACAGCTGACGCCGCGGCAAAGACGTCACAATTGGTGCTGTCCGTGACCAGGATATCAGAGCCTGGAGAGCACGTGATGTCACAACTAGTGCTGCGAACGAGATCGAACGACAGAGTCGACGCTGCGACCAGGGGGGGGCGACGTCACAATCGGCGCCGCGACCAGGATCAACCCTGGACCAAGCGACGTCACACAGTGAAAATTATAGAAAAAAATAATCAGATTAAAAAAGATCTATTTAAAAATATATTAATTTTATATTTCATTATTCAGAAAAAATAATTATTCTAGATAAGCCTCTCTCTCTCTCTCTCTCTCTCTGTATATATATATATATATATATATATATATATATATAAAAGAAAATACAGAAAAAACAAAATTCTGAATATGCATTATTAATGTTAAAATAAAGTCGACGTCGGACGTTTCGGTCTATTTAAGACCATCTTCATGGACATTTTCATTTAAACATAATTAACATTATAACTTATAACAATTTAACACAAAAGACGATGGACATAAGAGCCCAACTAATTCAAATATATATATATATATATATATATATATATATATATATATATAGAGAGAGAGAGAGAGAGAGAGAGAGAAATGGCTGAAATGTTATCTCCCGAGCAAAATAGCCTGATAGAGATCATACCGGAGTTTCAATTCAGATTTTTTCTTCTCCTAGATTGGTTGCCAACACAAGGTAAGTGAGCCAAGTCTGCCTTGCATAGCGAAAGGAAGATGGGTTTCTAAGGATATTATTTCGAAGTGAACGAAACAGAATCGATTGGAGACTGAACTCGGCTCGCAGATTCCATTTTCTGCAGCAATAACCTTTACACCATCCACACGTCCAAGAAGTCTGAAAACCGAAATGCCTGCAATATGGTTCATTTGAAAGTTTTAATGAAGTGGGGAAAACTGGAGGCACAGTGGTTAGCGGCTCAGATTGAGGAATCAGAGAGACGGCTTCGAATTCTACGACTTTGATTGCAATCACTTACGTGCTTATACTATTGAGAAAGGTATGAAAACATCTTTTCCCCTCGTAAAATAGCAGGGCTGGCTAGGTTCTATAGCCTTCGATGGCAACCATTCTAGTAGAAGGAATTGAATTCAAATCGGATCACACTATCCTAAAAGCGTGTAAACATGTGGCTGGGGACCGCTTGTGAATCCTAAATTCCCGCTGAAACACCTACTATTAGAGAGTCCTCCAATGTAACGTTAAAAGAAGCCCAATTTATCATAAAAAGCAAAACCTGATCGAGTTTCAAGATCGTCACTGAATATTTTTGTTACCCAAAATTCAATTTACAAAATGACAGAAAGCTAATTTGAACGAATTTGAAACGAAGTAGTATGCAGGCACATGATGGCTAAACAGTTGATAAGATGTCAGCAATGCCAATCATGTGCGGCTTACATAACGCCGTGATGCCTCCCGCCAACAACGCTATGAATCCTAAAGACATGCGATTACATATAGATTCCTTTTGTTTTCCGATATTTGTTAGAAAACAAAATCAAACTCAATGCCGGTTCTTATTTAAGTTAAATGAAATAATTTTATCAATATTATTCTGCGAACTTAATCTGGTGCAAATGTCTCTATTACCATATATTTTTCAGGAATCAGATAAACCGGAATATAGGACTATTGGTATCGCCATTCGAAAGAGTCAGAATGAAACCGAAATTCCGGAAATTGTGAAAATGGTCCGAACAGGCCATTATGCATTCATCATGGACAGTTCTGTGGTAGCTTATTTAGCGGGGACAGATCCAGAAAACTTCACTTACGTCGAAGAACGAGGCTACAAACAATCCCTAGGATTTGTCACGCCTAAAGGTTCTCGAATAAGAGAATTGCTATCCTACAAGTTAGTATTTTGACTGTGGTTCATTGTTCAGTATTTACATTATTCGGACTATTGTCCTCATCTTTGTCGCCATATTTATTACAACGTTTCGGCCGTTGTACGCTCCGGCCTTTTTCAGGTGGTTGGAATGTCGAACTGAATCCTTTATTTCGTTCACTGGGGTAGACTGTTCTAGTTCCACATGTCATGTTTAATAGATGTCAGTTGTCAGTTATCTCCTGTTAATTTCCCTCTCCAAGTTCTCCACTGCCTTAACCAGGACACTTGGCACAGTGGATAAAGGCGTTAGTTAGATCCAGTGACAGGACCCAAACAGTGTGAGTTCAATACCCGGCTAAGGCAGTGGAGGAGGTTTTAGGGAAAATAGGATTTGCCCTTATAATTGATAAAAAATATTAAGCGCTACAAAAAAGAACTTCTCGAAAATTCGTAAAATTAAATATGTGTGGGTAACAAATATAAAAAAAATGTTTTTACCCAGATTTTCTAAAAAAAGAAACATATAAAAAAAAATTTAATTAATTTGTGAACGGTTAATTAAAATCCGATAATTATCTGATTTTCGCAAAACTTTCCAATTCAATGAGTTTTTCACCGCAAAAATACAACGCACAAATCTTCCATACGAATGTATGGTGCCCCGTTGGCGCCATAAAAACAAGATTTTAACCAAAATTTAGAATATTCTGAAAAGGATTGAAAATATATTGTTTACATAAAAAAAATTTTTCCTCTTAATTATAAGTCAAATATCTTTTGGCTTTATTAAATTTTGTGCGTTTATTCATCATGTATGCACATTTTTAGCAAATCTTTGAAAGTACCTATTTAAAAATAAAATTAAATTAAAATGTTACACATCGATATATGAAGTGTGGTAAAAATTCAACATACTTCTTTTTATTTGTTTCAAGCAGAAATACAGATTAGATAAAAATAAATAAATTTAATCATTAGTGCATTTGCTTTTATGAATAAAAATTTCATAGAGAATTAACTTCAAGTGAAAAATATTTCCTAAATTACTTTTTTAGTGAATTTCGCACAAAAAATGTTTGTTTTGACAATGAAAAGATAAAATAATATTGCAAGTCCGAAAGAAGCAAAAAAAAAAAATATTAAAGAATCATATACTAGTACGCAGGTGTAGGCTTTAAGAAAGCTTTATTCAACTGAGAATATAAGGTTTGTATATAGTGTCCTTTTATAGTCCCAGTAAACTGAAATAGCTCTCTGAACGAAGAGAGTAATAAAACAAGCGGAGACCACTCTTGATTATTCATAACACTTAGTTCAATTAAATAGGCTTAAGTTATTTCAAATGTAAAAAAAAAAAACTACAACAGAGCACCGAAACTCTTAGAAAGATAGCATTCCAGTTCTGGGCGAGACATGCGCAATGACATGGCTTTAAATAAAGATGACCTTTAAATAAAGATGGCCTGACAGAAACGATTTTCAAGTTTCACACTAGAATCATAAAATAAAAATCGAAATCTTAATAATTTCCAACTTAGTCTAAACGACTAAAGTATGAATACATTTCTTTGTCTCTTTGTCATTCTTTATTTGAATGTTGCCTTTAATTATTTTCTATTTAATTCAGTACATGTCGGTTGGCTGATGGTAAAAGATGATCAAATTTCAAATCTAAAATATTTGCCTATTTAAAGTTCTACATTTATTATAAAATATATTCAGTTTATATGAAGGAGTCAGGAAAAATGATTTCAAAATGGCTGCACATCTCGGTTTATATATTTTTTTTTTTCCTATTACCCAGAACTTGTTGACAAACAGAAAGAGAAATTAGCCATCGTGACACATTGTCCATTTCAATTTCATTCAAATATTGTGTGCATATAGGTTTGCTCGTGCGCATATATATTGTCATTCAACGACAAGCAGAATGAAAACGTTATTTCCTTTTTTTTTATTTTTCTTACAATAACCATAAAAATATGCGGGTGGTACTTTGGCTTGTTAACATGAATCTACTTTGGTATGCGATCTACATTCTATATTACAATCTACGTGTCATGAATTGCACGTTCTGTAGGGGGATGATGAGAAAATAAGTTCCTGACTTCTATTTACCATTTTTAGCTAATGTGTGTACTGTTTATAGTAAGAATATTATTGAAAGAATTTTATTTTGATATTATATATATATATATATATATATATATATATATATATATATATATATATATATATATATATATATATATAAAATTTATTCGATAATTATAACATAAATATGTTAAAATCACTACAAAAAATAGACATTCTGTTTCAACACTTCTGGTGTTCTTATCATGTGATGGTGTTGAATGCAGAATCTACATTCTGCATTCAACATCATCACTTGATATGACACCACCAGAAGTGCTGAAACAAAATGGCTATTTTTTTAGTGATTTTATAACATGTTTATGTTATAATTTTCGAACAAATAATAATATTTGCTCTTCTCTGTAATGAGCACTTTTTCAGAATAGTATTTTGGGTTATTTGAATTTATTCTGTATACACCAATCCTATGCTTGGGTCTCTCTCTCTCTCTCTCTCTCTCTATATATATATATATATATATATATATATATATATATATATATATATATATATATATATATATATATATATATATATATATTATGTATGTATGTTGTGTATATATATATATATATATACACACATACATATATATATATATATATATATATATATATATATATATATATATATATATATATATATATGTTATAATATGTTTTTTACTGTGTAGATATCATTCCAAATTAAATTTTGTACGATGTAGATATTTTAGCCGATATACGTGCTGTTTATAGCTAGAATATACATAAAAGAAACATTTTGAATATTTTAATTACATTTTCTTTATATTAGATATATATGTTATAATATGTTTTACTATGTAGATACCATTCCAAAATAAAATTTGTACGCTGTGGATATTTTTACCTTGTAGATAACATCCAAAGTAGTGCCAATATTCATTTTTATGTGTCTATACGATTGTGCTTCTACATATGTGTATATGTGAATTATGATCAGATACTTATAAAATCCTGAAAAATTAACTGTATAAATCAAACCGTCTCCTACAAGACTGAACTGCGCTAGCCTCAGGCAGATGCAGCTGGGGGACAACCTAAGAGATTTCTCAAGCAATAATTTATTTTGCGTAATACTCGTATGTGTGAATGTTCAATTGGGCGGGGTTAAGTTCGGTGTTTATACGGTATACAAACTCTTCTTGGTTTATTTAACGTCAAAATCAGTCTTTTTTCTTCTTTATTTGAACGCATTTATTTGATTTGTGGATAAGTAAATATTGGTCGTTTGTATTTGAGTCTATAAACATTTACTTAGTTGGTGGCCCCTTTGAGGGTTTTACAGCTCTGCAGGGTCTGTTAAGCCTCGCCGACAGGACGAGTAAATTAGTGTGTTTGTACATGTGTATCCAGGTGTGTGTGTCTGCGTGCGTGGCCGAGTGGTTAGAACGTCTGATTTCCGGCTATGCGACCAGGAATCACAACATGGTCGATTTGTCAAGAAGATGGCTTGATGATTCAAGCGTGTGGTATCGTTGCAAAGTACCTAAAATCCCTACCTCACGGATGACGAGACTATTCCGAAGCCGTCGTAAGTCATCGTGATCGAGGGCTTAAGGGTACTAACTTTGTTCAAGCAGTTGATCCATCCAGGTTATCAGCTGTTTCCCAGAAATTGCAATTAAGATCAGCTCAGCTCAGCATAGTTGCTGTGTGCACCACAGTTTCTACAAAATGGATTATGAGCAGAGAGGGGTATGCTTGGAGACGAATAACTGACCATTGTTGTGTGTGTGTGTGTGTGTGTGTGCATAAGCATGGTTATTCAATAGTTGAAGAATGGCCCGCACTAATTGTTCGCCTTTGTTTGATAGGCTTTATTCATTTTATCTGAGATACGCTTTCTGTTTTCAGTATCATCAAGTCACAAGAAGCAGGAATTGTTGAGAAGTTGCGCAGTAAATGGTGGAATACTACAAAGCAGACAGTTTTGCACAAATCGGTAAACCAAGACGGATTGACATTAAATGATTTGGGTGGAGCTTTCATCGTCGTCATGAGTGCTGCAGGTTTGGGAATTGTCTTCTGTCTTGCAGAAAGGGCGACACTTTCTTACAAGCGGAGAAAAACATTCAACACTAAAAAACAATCAGTCATTCGAAAATATTCAGAACCGGATTCTGTCTCGTTACAGAATTTTGAACATCTCTACAAGAAAGCGACCACCCCAATTTTGTGACTAAGGACTCAGACTGTTCCATAGATTTTATGCAGTTATTATATACAGTAAAATTTTGGTCCAAAGAACTAAAATGAGGGGGAGAACATTGCGTTCCTTAAATCCAATAATTTCTTAAATCTGATAAATCCCTCATTTCGTAAAGTCGTAAGATGTGTACATCACTGCATTTAACGAACATCCAATACCGCACGCAAATGGTCAATATTACATAAAACTGTATAAAATATCAAATAAAACAATCGTATTTACTTTTCCTTGCTCATATTTGAAGGATTTTTGCAGGTGTTGCTCTAGATGCATCCTGCATTTGTAATTTACTTTGTGCACATAACCGAGGTTTAGAAAATATTCCAAAACTTCAGATCCAAATAATTAACATTTTTGACGGGTACTATGCCCTTTTTATTTTATTTTATTTATTTATTTTTTTTTTTTTTCATATTTATTTCCAGCTATCTTTATAGGAAACAAAGTTGACATGTGCCGCGTAAATCCACACGGACTCAATGAATGGTTTATTCTAGCAATTAGCGAACTTAAAATGAAATTAAATTACAGAAATTATTAAACCGCAAAGTATGGGTTTTTGTCAAAGTATTTTTCCAAGCAAATCAGCTTATTTAAATTTCATCAATTGGTTGCGAAATTCAACGAAACATAGAGTTTGTAAATATCGATGAAAAAAATGTTAGCGGTAACTTCAACAAAACTAAATACTGTAAGGATTTCAACAGGCGTCAGTGTGTTGCAAAAAAAAATTCTACGCCATTTACATTATTCGGACTATTGTCCTCATCTTTGTCGACATATTTATTACAACGTTGTTCTCCCGAAACGTTGTAATAAATATGGCAACAAAGATGAGGACAATAGTTTTTGTCTATTGTTTTCATGTCGAAGTATAATTGTGTTTTTTGACAAGTATTTTACGGAATTGTGTGTGCGGGCAGGCATATTGGTCACACCATAAACTCGCTTTCACGACGCTTGACACTACATTTGAAGGAAAACATTTTTAGGCATTTAAAACAACATGCCTGCCCGCACACACAATTCCGTAAAATACTTGTCGAAAACACAAAAACTAAAAATCCTTGAATCAGTATACATCAAACAGTTGAAACCCAACCTAAACAAAATCAATTGTGGCATCTCTACAAATATTCTTAAATGTCTATAATTGGTAACAGAAGCCATTGGTTTATACCAACAGCTTCCCATACTTCTACAATTCACTCTCGTGTGTTCATGTGTGACGTCATGAGATGCGGTACGATTTTCGCTTCTAGCGTCTTATATGCACGTGTTTATCGTTGCTTAGAAATCATCTATGTAAACAATGACAGACTGTCATCACTGTCTTGTCCGTATATTGTTTAATATGTTGTAATTGACATCTTTGATAATGGCTTATGTAAGCCGAAAGCTTAGATTGTATTAAATAAAAGAATATGGATCAATATTGTGAATTTCTTTCTTCGTTCAACGATAATGTTATTAAACTTATCAGATGTTACGAAAAAAATTTACATAAAATAAATAGAAAACACTTGTCTATATTATTTAATGAAACGTGTATGAATATATATATATATATGTGTGTGTGTGTGTGTGTGTGTGTGTGTGTGTGTGTGTGTGTGTGTAAAATAGGATTCCCGACAAAAATTTTGAAGAAATTTGAAATTGGATTTGATTACGAGTTTCGCCTTTCTAGGAGTCATCAGATCCCAAAACAAAAGAAATAATACACACATATTTTTTCTTTCGTTTTTGGATCTCATGAATGCTAGAAAGGCGAGCGCGTAATCAAATCTAATTTCAAATTTCTTCAAAAGTTTTGTCACAGCGCTAGTTGAGAAACAGAAAATAGAAGGAAAATGGTCAAATTCAATTTTAAGAAATGCATAAAAGCATTGGTGTTACCCAGCGGAATTGGAGGACAGATCGTCTGCTAGGGATTCGATTCCCAATCACAGGCCAGCAACGCTCTAAGTGAAAGATCGTTCCATCCACGTTGTTTTAAGATTTGGAGAGTACCCGGGATTTGGCGAGCACCCGAATTGAATACCCCGAGTCATCAAATAATGTTAACGACTTTCGTGATTTTGAAATAAAAATGAAGATGTCAAATTGACGTCTAAAAATAGCGACCTAGTGCAGCTTCATTTATCGTTGTCGTTTTCAAAAATTCACATATATACCTCTATTCTACCTATCTTTATTTAAATATACGCAGCGGAAAATGCCATCGACCGTTATCGAGTGCAAGGGTTAAATCTTATTCAGCATACTAAAATATTTCTTCAAAATTTTTTGGCTTACACCGTACTCGACGTAGAATGAAGGCAATAAAATAATTATCACAGCCATCGAGACAAAGAAAACAGATCACTACTATCATAATCCAGTTCAATTAAGAAAAATCGTAACCTGTTTTTTTTATTTTCACACCAAGCAAGACAATAAAGCCACTAAGACGCAAGAGGTTACTAAATGTTGAAGAATAAAAAAAAGAAGAAAAAACATTATTAAAGAATGAGAACAATAAAAGAAGAGGAATCAAGAAGACAGAAGATAACAATTGACATTGCATTTAAATTTTTTTAAGATCAAAGTTGGATAGAAAGCAAGAAACCAGAAGAGAGTTCCATTGGTGAGAAGTGTAAGAAAAGAAACTTTTAGCAAGAACTTACGGTTAAAACTAGCCAATTCAACTGAAAAAAGAATGAGACCCTACCGCCAACCTAGTACTGCGCTTCAATTAAAGTAATCATTATATTAATCAGATCAATTTCCATGAAAGTATTTTTACAAAAGGTGCAGGGAAGTTACACTACGGGCGTGGCAAAGAGACTAAAACCGGGATGACAAGTCAGGATCAATAAAATTCCAGATTCTTCTTTGGATTTTATCAAGAATCTCTAAATATATAGCGGGAGCAGCAGACCAGATGTGGCAGTAATATTTGAAGCATGAACCAATGCTAGCTTTATAAATATATAAGATAAATTCTGTAGAGAAAAATTGTCTGGTGACAGTGAGCCAGTTTTCTTAGAAGCAGACCTAACAATAGATTTAATATCAATTAGTTTTGTGCTGATACACGCTTAGGCGATCATGTATCTTTCGATACTTGACTGACGAGGTAGATTTTTTCCCGCAGTAAGTTAACATTTCTTTCTGCGACCAGATGCTATACCCGGTCTGTCCTGCTATTTACCCAGGAGAAAAGGATTCATACATTTCCCAAGGGTATTAGCGCGTTAGCGAATGTAATGGATTCGACTGGAATTCGAACTCGGCTCTTCAATTCCTCAATCCGAGCCGCTATCCATTACTCCACCGTGTAGTCTTTCCACTTTACGGCATTTTTCTAAATTTATACTATTATAATAAAATCAATCGAATCAATTTTCTTTCCATAAATTTTCCTGAAATAATATAAAAATATGAAATTAAACTAAGCGAAACATAAAAGACGCCATCGCGCCGATAAAGACTAAGGCTAATGCTATCGTTGTCAATTCCTATTATGCGAGGCCGAATTCTATCACCAGCCCTGACTGTGACGAGATTGTCCAGCATTCCCGGCTGTATAAGAGAACTGTTATTACATAAAAGTTCTGTACTCTTTTGCTTGTTTCTAACGGAATTTTCCTGTTTCTTTGCTTGCTTAGCTTTTGGGAGGCATCTTTTGCTATCCCAATGCGCCTTCGGATTTCGGTGTCACACTTTCCCTTGAACTAGACATGTGAGAAACGATGAAGTTTTAGAGAAAATGAAAATCAGAAATGGAAATCTGAAAGAAAAAAACTGAAATTTCTAGGGTGCTTGACAAATTTAACACCCACAGGACATATTGACGACAGAGGAAAACATTGCATGACATAACCTAACGAGAATTTGTAAATGAATGACAGAACGGAGTTTGGAGGTGACAACAAAAAGACAAAATTTGGAAAGAGCGACAAAGAACAGGAAATTGTGAAGAGCCACGTTCACCAACGTCCTGAATGGACATGGCACATAGAAGAAAAAGAATAATGTCTGGCATTTTTATGGCTATATTAATGCGATACAATGCGTCTCCACTCTATTCATTAGTAGTAATATGGACATTAAATGATGGGTTTTATAACTAGAGCACATAATGAGGAAAGGGGGCTTGGAAAATTTGATACTCACAGGACAGATTGAAGACAAGAGGGACAGAGGAAAACAACGCATAACCCACCTAGCGAGCTTGAGTAAATTGATGGCGGAACAAGATTTAGGAGAGATAACAAAAAGATCAAATTTATTAAGTGCTATATTGGACGGGAAGAGACGGTTGAAATTTCTAGGGCACATAATGAGGAAAGAAGGCTTGGAAAATTTGATACTCACAGGACAGATTGAAGACAAGAGGGACAGAGGAAAACAACGCATAACCCACCTAGCGAGCTTGAGTAAATTGATGGCGGAACAAGGTTTAGGAGAGATAACAAAAAGATCAAATTTATTAAGTGCTATATTGGACGGGAAGAGAGGGTTGAAATTTCTAGGGCACATAATGAGGAAAGAGGGCTTGGAAAATTTGATACTCACAGGACAGATTGAAGACACGAGGGACAGAGGAAAACAACGCATAACCCACCTAGTGAGCTTGAGTAAATTGATGGCAGAACAAGGTTTAGAAATTTACTAACTGCTACAAATGACAGGAAATTCTGGAAAGACATGATTGCCAATAACCTGACTAGATACTGCACGTAGAAGAAGAAGAATAGTGTCTGGCATTTTATGGCTATATTATTGCGATACAATGCTTCTCCGCTCAATTGATTAGTACACCGATGAAGTAAAAATGGAGAATAAATGAGTTTATCTGAGCCCAGATTTACCGGCAGGTTTTATAACTGACAGTCAACTGCAAGGACAATAAAACAGAGATGTGAGTTTCAAAGCAACTGGCTGTAATTAGAAAAAAGATAATAAAATAAAAACTTTTCGAATCAAGTGATACTCACCGGAAGGTATGGAGTTCCGATTATGGGCTTATATATTCAGGTAAGAGTCACTGTTAAAGAAGAGATGTAGAATCAGACTGAGACGAAGGGAAGATTTTGTCCGTTAGTCTGTCGTGAGAGAAAAGAAAAGTAGCAGCGAATATGACGCAAGTGACACTTACCTACACCAGGCAGTACCAGAAAAAAATGATCTATGAATAAAGAATCGAGTTTATCAGAACGAACAGATTTCTTTTTTACCAGGGCGATATCCAGAGATGACCGGGGATTCGAGACTTTTTCTCACGGTGCAATATCTCGACTCAGTTTCTTTGTGAAAT